AGAGACACCCATGAACTGAGCCAGCCCTCAGGGTTAGAAGCAGTTGCCTTTTGGGTTAATGAAAAGCCAGAAATACCACATTTACGACTGCTAATTGCAATATTTAACTCCCTCACCTGTGCTTATCATTGGGCTGTGGAGAGTTGGCAAGCGTACGTACACTTCTGGGCTGGTATGAAAAATGATAATCACAAGAAAGTCACGGTAAATCAACTGTACACGCTGGGTTTTGAACAACTGGCACATTACAAAGCAGTTCTGAACCCAGGATCATTTTAACGAAAAGAAGAAAGCCCACTTTGATCTTTCACGAGTTTCCTGTGAAGGACACTTGTTTGCAGTCCGCTTGACTGACAGCTGCATGAGGAGCAGTTCCCGAAAGTGACTGCCGACCCCTGCAACTTTATGCCCTGGGATTTGTCCTGTGGTTGTCAAGGTAACGGGGCAGCCTTGCCCAGCCCTGGAAAGGCAGCAATGTTACCAAAGCCTGAGCTGGTATTTTTCCTTGCCGGCCAGCTGCCTGGGCTGCATGAGTCATTTTTTCCACTGGGCTGAGTCCTCCTGGCCTGCATGGCCAACTGAATGCAGTGCCTCTTCCCATGTGGCCCCAGCTTGCTGACTGTCTGTCCTCAGCCACCAAGGCTCAGTGGGACCCACTGGGCCAGAACAGCAGCCTGCCGGGCACATCTGGAGCCCACCAAGCTTGCCATCACGCGGGCAGTCAGATCTCATGCTCATGAAGAATCAGGCGAGGATCAAGTGAACCTAAATGCTCACCAAACACCATGACACTATTTCTAACTTGGGAATAAAGGCCCAAATGCACTTGTTAGCGGGGTATCTTTGAGACTCTTCCATAGTCCGATCTGGGGATGGAACCAAGCCGCGGCCCCACCTCTTAGGAGCAGTGTGACCATCGCTGTCACCATCACTGCCCCTCACAAGCCCTGAACACAGCGAGAAGGCACCTGAGGGACCAGCCTGGTGCTGGCATCCAGGACCGCCTCCCTACCGAGGGCAACTGTCAAGATTTTTGTAAAAGGGGCAGAAAAATGGATTTGTTAGGATTTAAACAGCTCTGCTGCTGGTGAAACACCCACTATTTAACCAAATTTTCTTCAACATATCCATCAGTCGGAAGTCTTTCTGTCCATGGTGAAACTATTTGGATGGGAAAACAGATACTCCTCACCTTGGTTTGTTTTTATTTTTTATACAAAAGAAGATATTATTTTATCAAATCCAAACCCATTCCTTTTCATTCACATCAGCCAGACTCAAGCACAAAGTCCAAGGCTCCAAAAGGTTTGAAAGCTTTCTCTCCATCAGGATTCCCTGAATCCATCGGTCTGAACAATGCTGTCTTGGGTACATAGGCAAAGGGGAGGCCAGAGAAAGGCTGGGAACTCATAAATAATGTGGCCAGCAAGTCCTGGGTGTGAAATATACACACAAAAAAGAGAAACCCCAGAGACATGAGAGCGACAGAACACCTGATCTCACAGCTGCCTTCTTCCCCGGGAACAGCCCTGTTTCCCATCCTTACCCCACCTCCGGCCACATTTATCTTCTTCAACACTGTGTGTCTTTCACTGTTGTGCCCAACAACCTTCAGTGGCTCCTCACTGCCTCGTGGATGGGGCTACTGAAAAGCCTCAATCCACCATTGCAAATTTACCTCTTTTCATTCCCTGATGGAAACCACAAACATACTTGCCCGCTCATTGGCCCTCAGTGTGCCTATTCCTGTCTGCCAAGTTCCATTCACGTCATTCATTCCCTCTTAGATTCCACGCCTGCTCCTGAGTGGGTCTGCAATACCTTGTCTTCAAAGCTGACCCCAAGCCAAGCTTCCTCTACTAACTCTTGCCCGATGGTCTTTCCTCGTGTGCTTCTTGGGTTTTCCCTTGCTTTTAGTACCTGCTGTTTTTTATAGTTAGTTTGCCACTTATTAAGCCTGATCCAGCTCCTCAAGCCCTAGCACCTCCAGGCCAGCAACTCTGTAGCTTTCCTGCAATGCCACCCACAGAAAATCCTTCACATTTTGCAAGCACTGGGAGACACAAGGCTGCCCTTGGCATGGAAGGGCCCAAGGCCAGCTCTGCAGCTGACCACCATGTGATTCCAGCCAGAGCACCCAAGGGCCCTAGGCTCCAATCCCACATCCCTCACAGGTCAAGTCTGGAGAGCTGACCTCAAAGTCTCGCCGGATCTCAGGCTCCACTTGTTAATATGCTGGAGAAACTGTGCTGGTTCCCCACCCAAACCCTCCCCCTGAGACTAGAGAGAAGGGTGAGAGATGGGGGAAGAAATTGTAAGAATTCAGAGTTTAAGTAGAGAGTTGTAAGCTTTAACTTTTTTTTTTTTTTTTGGTACCAGGGATCGAACTCGGGACCTTGCACTTGCGAGGCAGGCGGTGGAACCACTGAGCTAAATCCCTGGCCCAAGCTTTAACTTTTTAATTGAAAGACAGCAAACAAAGACTGAAATCTCCCGTGCTGGCAGCCTCTGGGAGTCGAGGAGTCTTGCGAGTTCAGCCTTTGAGGGCAGAGAAGGGAAAGTTCCCTAAGTGGTTTGAAGTGGCTTCACAATCAAGGCCAGTCTGTCTACACTCAAAGGCCTCCTATACTTTAACATGGAGAGGCTTAGCTAAACCTCAGCTTTGAGAATCAAATCCTTTCCAGGGGGCAGGTGCTCTGTCAGCCCGTTTCACCCTCACCAACCAGGTGGTGGCAAAGACATCCTGACCATGCAATCACGAGCGGCCCCGCACCTCAGGGGCTTTGTTTGTTGTTTTACCAGCTCCTACATCAGTCTGAACATGTTGCTCGATTTGTTCAAGTATAACAAACTGACTTTATCGTCCCTTCCTCAGAGAAGCAGGGAGAAGGAAGAAAACTGAAGGAGGAAACAGAGCTAAAGGGGAAAGGGGGCTACAACCATCTGCAGAGCTCATCCTTGTAGGCCCATAATTCACACATGAGTGACTTAATAAAAGGCGATTTGTAGAAGGCGAATCAGACACTTTGAGTTTCATAAAACCTTCCTGATGTATTTCAAGGTTAGAATTTAGAAAAGCCTTCAGAATCTCCTGGATCAGCAGCCTCATTTTTATAGGTTTGGGAGGCTGGGGCCCTCTCGAGCTCCCAGCAGCTAATGCAAGAGCACGCATGAGCAGGACCCCCACCACAGGGCCCTTCCAGCAGCCCAGGTTAGCTCCCCTAACTTCCTCCCTGGACGTACTTCAAGTTCTTGGCTCAGTGCAAATACTCTCAAGCGTGGCCACATCATGCAGAGCAGTCCTGGTTCCCAAAACCTAAGTGCTTGTCCAGGGGAGAAGGAAGGGACCGGATATGAAGAGATCTCAGGCAGCCGTCCCAAGCGGGCCTCCGTGTTCCGGTTCAGTGCATCTGTGTTTTGGTTTTGGTATAAAACACGGGACTGGAATTCTGTTTCAACTGCCTGGGTGTTCCTAAGACAACATACTTTCCCACCACCCCTCCCTTGTGCAAAAGTCACAAGAAAGGTTGGCAAAACAAATTCCTGGTCACTTCTGTCGTTATGAGTGCTCATGGGATCCTGGAGTGCTCTATGGAAATGAGGCTGCCTAGCTAAGCTGGCAGGAACTCAGAGCAAAACAGTTTTTACTCCATCAGGTGAGAGAACTTAGGAAACGTGGAAGAACTTTGGGGAAAACACCAAGTTTGAGCTCCCTTCCGGGTTCCGGCTTTCAGGAAGGTCCCTCTCCCATTCTCTGAAGTTCTGGCCCCAAGAAGCTTTCATGCCATTCACAAACCTGGGGTTTGGCTTGGAACTTCCTTTATAGTCAAGGGCACAGAGGCAGGAGGAGCACACTCTTTTGTGAAGAAACCTGACAATGGGAGACATAGGCAGGTGGAAAAGAAGCCGGCGATTATCTTCAGCTCTGAGCAGGCGCAACCACTCACAGTAGTGTCATCCTAAGAAATGCAACCTCCAGTCCTCGTCACCCCGAATGGAAGGAAAGGTAAAGTGCATGAATGAGCAGGAGGCAGAGCAGACAGGACAATAGAGAGGGATAGATTTTGCCCAAATTACTGGAATTTGAGAGTTTTCATATCAATCTTTTGCCAGATAATTCCCTAATCTAAACCAGCATCACTCCAAGGTTTTGTTCATATTTTTTTAATTAACAAAGTGTCAGTCCTAGTCAAGAGAAGGTAGAGGGCCTTTAGACACCTGCTCAGATCAAGAGAAGCATAGGAATGGGGGCTGAGGCTACAGGGCAGATTTAAACTGCCCCTCTCCGCCCCGTATTGTGAGTCTTGTCCCAAAGTGGCTTGTGTTTCTTTTGTCACATGGTTTGGGCATGCATGGGGCACAGAACCCAGCTGACCATGTCACCACTTTCTCATGACAGGACAGCCTGCCCGCACTCACTACTCCCGGTACACCCCAAGTTGTTCTGCAAAGCCACTTGATCAAGAAGGGGAGGCAAAACCCAGAAACCCTGGGAGGGTCCCGAGGAAGCAGCTCGGGAAATCAGTTCTGTGCTCTACAGTGAGGATGTGGACAGCCCCTGACTGCCTCACAGCATTGTCATGAGGATCAAATGTAAGGGAAACTCCTTATAAAACTGCAAAGAAAGCACCTCCCAGGAGATTCTGTGACTGTGTGCTGGACATGCCCTGGGTGCACACAGGGCTGATTTGCTTGTGAAGTTCCTCCAGGGAGGGGTGCAATGTACATTGTGCTTTCCCTGCACCTAACAGAGCCCCAGCCGATGCACGTCACACAACTGCTTGGTGAACTAAAGGTTCTGAAGGCCTCAGCCCTGACCAGAATACATTCCCTGGTTTTTCTCTCCTGGCAGCCCACCACAGTGAAGACGACTCAACCTCTGTCACTTCCCACATGGCATGAACCGTCTCTCCCAGCTCTGACTAAATCCTCCTGTTTAACCTCTCACATTTCCTTTTTCACACGGGACAGTCATTCACCAGTCAGCCTCTGTACAGCACCTGCTCCCTGCTCCGAGTGATCCTCTCAGACAGCAAATCTGAGTTGTTTCTTTCCTCTTCCAGCTCCATCTCCAGCTGAGACACCTTGTCCTATGAGAAATCACATACACAGGTCACTTCGCTTGTGCTGAGCATTGCCCTGTGGAAGGAAAAGTCCATCAGTGAAGGCGAGCTGAGTGTCACCAGGCTTTGGGAACACAATGTGTCTATTTCTTACACTGCCCAAAGCAGTTGTGTTAAAAACCATGTGTTTTATTGCTTTAGTAATGTAAAAATGCAGTTGTGCATGTAGAAAAGCCACTTAGTAAAAAGAAGAAAAAGCACCCCAGACCCTAATATAAAAACTAAGGCTATTTTGGCATGTTTCCTTCAAATCTCTTCTCACCCTATCAGTCAATACTTTAAAAAGTTATACGTAAGCCCCAGACCTGCTAAAACTCAAGGCGGGGCCTGAGAAACCAGCCCAGGCACATTTCAATAAGCGTTTCATTCTGGGGGCAACATTTTGCCTTCCTGCTGCTCAGAGCTCCCAAGAGCCCTTCTCCTGCAGGCATAGGAGCCACCTCCTGCACCCGCCTCTTTCCTGGGAGCACTGGTGGGCGTAGATGGTGGTGGCCAATTCTGATAAATCCATCATCACCACGTATGAATAACAATTTGTCTTCTTGCTGATTCCCAACTTAATATCACTAAGTGTTTAAAGGGAGAGTTTCAAAGTAGCTTCTCATATGAAGAAAGAATCTTCCAATCAAACCACTCCACTTGACACCTGGAACTGTAGGCTTTGTGCCTGTTTCTCCTGTCATGGGCAGAACTGTCAGAGGTCTGGGTAGACCCAGAGCCACAAATGCAATTAGCAATTCTGGGCAATTAGCATTCCGGTCTTGCAACCTAAGCTTGCAGAATTTGTATATAAATATTGACTTTGCAATTGCCGAAGTTGATTGACAAGTGACGGATGTCTCCACAAATGCCCAAAATTAAACTCTTAGAACTCATGTGAATGACAACTACCTGCAAACAGCCTTCCCTGCTAGTGTTCAGAACCTATAGGGACACTAGGAAGTGTCCTACCAGGAACAGAGCCCCAAAAGCCACCTCAGGACAGAGCTGGGTCTCCCCAAAAGGTGCTGTTTTCTCAGGGGTCCCACTTCCTCCCAGGCCCACTTCAGCACAGTTAGAAATCTCCAAGGATCTGCAATAGCTGCACTCACGTTAAAGAAAATGTCTACTGCATGGAGAGCTCTTGAGTCCTGAGAATTAATTTGTTAAGTGCTAATGAAGGAACAGGCAAGACAGTAGTCACAGCAAGAGAGTCCTGCCAGCCACCTCTTGGAGAGGAAACACTCCCGAGTACCCTCTCAGCACCTTGCAAGCCAGTCTTTCTATTATTAATGGAGAAATATCTGAAATATTGCATGAGGCCAATTCAACTTAGCCATGCTACTGCTTCTAGTTCTTAAGTCAGCCAGAAGAAATGGTCTTTTTAATCAGAAAACTCGAGCAGGGTTAGGTGACAACCTAATCTTCAGCTAAAATCACTTATCAACAGGGCTCTCTTGCTGCCCCAAATCCATGGTGTGCAGACCCCAGCAGAAGCATCGAGGTCCAGGCCAGGGCTGATCACAGCAAGGCTCTTTTCTATCACAGGAAAACTGTCTGGGCCCTAGAAAAATCTACTTCTAGTTAACCAGGTTGACCTTAGCTTGCCTGAAAATGACCTCCCCTAAAGGGATCAGGACTAAGACATTAGCAAAACATAGCATCCAACAGAAAAGTAATAAAACTATAATCAGATTATTCTGGTCTCTAAAAGAGGCCCAGCTAATAACATCATCAAAAGTTGAAACAACACTCCCTAAACATAAATGGCTAAGTCCCCTGGAGGTTTTAAAACAGTATTTCTGTTTATTTGCAAAGCTGAATCAGGAATTCCATTGACTTTGAATTTAAGCCATTTCCCCCCTGGTCTTGAGCTCTGTCTGTCTTTTATCAAAACCCAGACAACTTTAACTTCTCTCCAAGTCTAAGCTTTATGTTTTAAGGCTCTCTATCTCTAAATTAGACTGGAGCACGTGCGTATGTGCTCGTGTGTGTGTGTGTGTGTGTGTGTGTGTGTGTGTGTTTGTGTGTGTGTGGCACGTTTCTAGTTAGTGGTTAGTTTCGCTTTTGAGAATTATTCTTTTTTAGAAGTTCAGGCAGATTGGCCAGGTGTGATAGTGCACACTTGTAATTCCAGCACTGGGGAGGCTGAGGCTGGAGGATCGGCCGTGAGTTTGAGGTCAGCCTGAGCTACATAGTGAGACCTTGTCTCAAAAAAAAAAAAGTCTAGGCCAACTGACTCCCAGGTTCTTCCTCTCATCCCCAGGGTCGCTGCTCCCAGCACACATGCTCCCAGCCCCCGCTTCTGCCAGGGCAGCGCACAGACCTCCATCTGCTTGACCAGCCGGCTTCGGTCATCTCGGAGGTGACTCCTGGCCTCCAGCTCATGTTCCAGGTCCTTCAGCGTTTGCTCCAGCAGCTGCTTTTTCGTGAGCGCTTCGTCCTGAGCCCGCTGGTGGTCCCGTATCTCCTCCTCCATCAGGCGCATCTAGGATGACATGAGTTGGGGGTTCTCAAGGGCACAGAGGTCCAGCAGACCCCTCCCCGCAAAGCAGAGGGGGCCATGTGGGCTCCCACCCTGTTGGAGATCAGAAGATCTTGAGCAAGTCTCACCTTTCTCTGGGCCTCAGTTTCCCCTTCTGTAAAAACAGGGCACTTTGCAGCTACAGGCAGCAACCCCATTAGGTTATAAATTCGATCTATTCAAAGCTAATGGGCATTTCAATATGCAGTAAGTCCCTGACTTAGAAACAGGTTCCATCTGGGAGAATATGCATAAGTCAGATTCATTCATAATCCAACAGAATGAGTCTTATACAGTACTCCTGTGAGAGTTTATAATTTGCATGTTGGTAAGTTGAGGACTTACTGTAACAGAAAAAATAAGAGTATCAGCAAACACTGTTCTGCAGTTCTTTTGTACTAGACATTAGTATATTTGTGTGGGTGCCTGTGCTCCTGGGTTGCAATGCAAGATGCAGTTCTTACTCTGGGTGCTGGACCTTATACTCGGGAGCCTCTGAACCAGCTAAGCACTTTTTCCAGGAGCAATTTATTATCAGTATCACATTGCCTCAAAAGAGGCTTAACATTAGGATAAAATAAAAGCTAAATGAATGGTCTCAAGGCAACTCTTGAACACAAAACCTGATGTAAAATGCACATTAGCTGATACCTACTGCTTTGTGGAAGAAAATGGTCTATCAGCCATCACAACCTCCAGTGTTTTTCACCCACAAGGTGGCACTAAACTCACAGCTGTGCAGAAACTACAAGAGACTGAACAGCCTGAAATTCTCTAGGGCCTGTTTGCAACTTCCCGGCACTCCCCAGGGACCGGCCACTTCCGCGAGCAGCATGTGTTTCTTAAACATCTGGACAGGCACATAGGGTGCAGCCCAACGCTAGCTCTTCTGCCCCACCCTCCCAGAGATGGTACAGGGCATGGGGGAGGCACAGTCTTTTCTGACAGAAATCATCAGGATTTATCCCTTTCTAGAGTGTGGAAGCGAGGGGCAAATGCCATCATAGAATCCTCCCCTTGGGAGGACAGAAAAGATGTTCTTGATAGAAAAGCTGGGGAAGTCAAAAGAGTGTAGGAAGAGCAGGGCAAAGCAGGAAATGTGTCCTTTTGGAGGCAGACAGGATACCTGGCATGTCTAGGCCAATGGCCCAGCCTTGGAGAAGTCATTTCCAGAGACCCAAGTCTGGTCTTGGTGGTGATGGAGCTGAGCCTGCGCAAAAGCACAGACTGAAGATCAGCCTGGGGCAGAGCCCAATGGGCCCTTCTCTGGACACCCACCTCGCTGGACTCTGGGCCATGAACGTTTTCCATGACTCAAATTTCCTCATTTGCAACACTGGCATGATTATAAAAGCTGCCTTAGAGAGCTGTGTGAGAATTGAATGATTCCAGGAAAGAGCATAGGATCCAGGGTAGGAAAGATTGACAGGAAAACATACTGCTCTCATTCCCTCCCTGGCGTCGTCTCCAATGACGAGGTGTCTCTCCCAGCACCTAGCATGGTTCTACTTCTCAGTGCCCAGTCGGTCCCTCCTCACACCTAGCAAGGGCTCTGTCGCACTAACAGCACTCTACAGGGACATGCAGAAGAAACCAGCTGGTACAAGTTGAGCATCCCAAATCCAAAAATCTGAAACCCACAACTAAAAAGAGGATTTCAGATTTTCAGATTTTAAAATGCTCAACAAGTCTATGCAAATACTCCAAAATCTGAAAAACTGAAACTTGAAACATTTCTGGCCCCAAACACAACAGATAAGGGACTCACTTTGTTTAGTGTCTCGGAACAGCTTACCCTGAATCAAAGGTAAGCAATACCTTGTGAACCCAACCCACCAGTGCTACCTTCAGGTAGTTAAAACCACCCTCCACACAACAAAGACTGAAAGATGATGAACTCTAAGTCTTGATTCCTAAAGAGGATCTTCATCAGAGCTTTTCTAGCGCCATGGGGCAGAATGAATAGTAACACGGCCATTTCTCTTCAAGCAAAGGCAGCAATGCTTCCAAAACTGTGTGACCCCTGAGCTTTTGGCAAGGACGAACCTTAACTCGGGGGTGAGGGGCACAGATGAGCTTGAGCTTTTCAAGGACCCAGAGTGATAAGTGACTTGTTAATTCTCCTCCGTTTTAAACAACTTCAGGACTTCTGCATCTTAATAGTTTCCTTTCAGAGTCAAGGTATCCTTTCATTTGGAAATAGGATCTCACAGGGCTGTGCTACAGAGAAAAATTTAGGAAAGGCCAACTTTGTTTTTATTATAGGGAATCTTTCAAAAAATATATCTGCGGTTTGATAAACAATGCTGGTCTCCATCTGGTCTTAGCTAATCTCTCTCGACCTAGATTATCTAAGGAGAGGATCTCTTTATCTCTAAGTTTCCTTCCAGTCCTAAGATTGTCACCAGACCACTACTCAAAAAGCAACAGGGGGTGCTCTTCATGGGTCACTGTGACACTATGATCTTCTGAAGTCAAAACAGACCAGGTGTTCGCTGGTGTTCTGGCAAGTATCTGATCCCCTCCACCCCTTTGCTGTAGAAATAAAAATAATTTTTTTGATGCTGACGAGAACTGTGAGTCAGTGTGCTAGCATCTGTTCTCACTGAGAGAGAGTCCTGTATCATCTGAACCCCAGCCAGAGCGGATCTGTTATCAGGGTCCTTTCTAGAAGTCTGTAATAAATAGCCATTGTTCAGCACTGATTCAAGGGCAATGTCCCTTTGATCATCAAAGAAATTAAAGATTTGTTTTTTTAAAGAAAATTTGTTTTCCTGCGGAATCTTAGTGTTCTTGGCAGTTTATGCAGAAAAGTTTTAAATTTCAAAACAGTTTTACAATTAAAGAAAAAGAGATGCTAACATTTATGAATGTCCAGGGTGTACAGACCCTGTGCTATATAGTCTCACTTGTTAGCTCAGGTAATTATTAATTTGCTAATATTTTGTATATTTTTACAGAGGTAGAAACAGATGCTCAGAAAAACGGAGTGATTTGCTCAAGGTCACCAGCTGGTATGAGGTACAAGCAGAAATGACCCTTCACTTTCTCTTAAAACAATCAAAAAACATTCTTTTTATTTTTCTGTTTTTTAGAGGTCATGATGAAGGGAGCTAACGTTTGGGTTTCTTTGCTCTATTCTTGAACATAAAACCAGAAATAGGTTTGAATAGCTTCCGTATCTATACACTCCAAAATATTTCTTTCATTCCCTATTATTGTCCTGAAAAGTCTATCCACCCTCATCCCATTAAAAGTCCAAACTTTCAAAACTAAGTGGAAAAACACATCAGTTACTACAATTCCGGCTCTAGGAGTGAGTTAAAATAAGAATGCATAGAAATCATTTGGGCACAGCTGAGCACCTCATTCCTGCCCCATAAATGGCAGCTAAACTTTTTAGAGAGAAAATGCTGGATTGGTGAAGAAAATGGTCCAGTTGAAGTTGTATCCACTTCCCCTCAGAGTTGGTGGGTTTCTGTGTCTTATAATTCTACCTGCCCATCTACACATGGAGGGCTAAGAACGAGGGAATCGAGCACAGGAGCTGTCTTAAGAATCTACTCCCAAGACCCTCACAGAAGCATTTCACCTCATCCTGCAGTTTCATGGCGGCCAGGTGGGAATTTTCTGCCTCAACGGTTTTCTCCTTCAACTGCCTCTGCACTTCCGCGAGCTCCCTGCGATTTTTGTCCTTGTACTCATCCAGCTGGTTCTGGAGCTCCAGGGTCGATGTGCGAGATGCCTCCACAATGTCGGCCATCTGGAGGGGACAAGGGTGTGAGTCAGCCCCGAGATGCTCCATCGGGGGCGGCGAGCTGGTGGGAGCCCTGTTCAACACAGGATCGTCTCTGCTCTCCTGTCCCTGCAGCCCCCTCCAGGCCCTGGGCCATCCCCTCCGGATGTGGCCACCTCTGACTTGGCTGCAGCATGGACAAGCGAACAAGCTCTTCCTCTCAAGCTGGACATGGTCCTGGGGTCAGAGCCCCTCTCTGCCACCTACCATACATGACTGAGCATGGCCTTAGCCTCTCTGGACCTCAGCAATGTCCTCTTGGGAAATGCTGACAGCATAACATCTACTTTACAGGGTCTAATTAAAATAACACAGATGGAATTCTAGTTAGAGGCCAAAAAAAAAAGGTAAAGAGAGTGGTGCCTGACATGTGTCACAAAATGGCAGCTTCTAGGAGACAAGTGAACAGAGGCTGGCCTTGAACTTGCGATCTTCCTGCCTCAGCCGCTCAAGCAGCTGGGATTATAGGTGTGTACCGCCATGCCTGGGAACTATCGGGTTCTGAAACCGACTTTGGTGCTCCTGGATAAGTCAGACAGATGCAAGCACAGACTGCCCAGCAGTGTGGACTTCAATTCTGGGAGCGTGGGGTAAGCATGTGCTTCCACACCAGCCTTCTGACTACTATCACAAGGTGATTCTGGGGCCAAGACTCCACAGGGTTCTGGCCTTTACCTTTTAGTTTCTATGTGGGACTCTCAGCAAGCCCAAAGGGCTGCTTCAGAACTTCTGCAAATCCCCAGAAGTTTTGCGCTTAGACAGAAGCCAGGTCTCCTTGGCTTTCACCAGACCTCCAAGAGCCTGGGTCCCAACAGGGCAGCCCACCTCATCCCCTCACCTCCTTCTGCAGCTTCTCGATGGTCTCGCCGAGATGTCGCCGCTCACTGTCCATCTCATTCTTTAACCTTCTTAACTGCTCCTTCTGCTCAGTCTCATCTTGCAGCTTCTTGGACAGCTGCTTCTGCTCCTGGATGGTCCGACTCAGTTCTTGCTGCAAACAGCAGAGAAAGAACAGTCCTAGATACCAGGTCAACCAAGGAACAGGTCGCAGAGGGATTTCACAGCATCATCGAGAACAATCTGACTTGTTCCCTCAGTGATAAGGAGGAAGATCAGAATAAAGCCCACTGCAGACACATCAGGACCTTGTTGGTCCTGGCATTCATTTAAGAACCAAAAAGGACATTGATTTAGCCAATAACACCCACAGGAATTACAGGGATGCAATACAGAAACACAGTACCGAGCCAAGGTTGTTGGGGTCAGGGTTCAGAAGAGCGTCAAAAATCTGAATGTGTGTGTTCAAGAACTGAAGTACAGTTAAATTCTAGAACAACCTAAACCTGCTTTGTAATTTACATCCTGTTATTACTACTTATATCTAGATGGCCCCCCAAAGCCTCATGTGCTCCTAGGTAGGGCTTTTTGGAGGTGGCTGGATTAGGTAGCTGTGTTGCTGTAATTAAGGGTATGTGGTACTGAATTAGTCCACTAATTGGTTTATCACAGTACTGGGTGTGGATAATGTGAAGGCTCACCCTGGGGGTGAGTGGCACCATCCAATAAGCTTATAACCTGGATTAGATAAAAGGAGAAGGAAGGCTCACTGCTGCTCCCACAGCCTGCTGCTTGCTGCTTGCTTGCTGCCTCCTGCCTGCTATGCCTTTGACTGTTTATCCTGTGCCATGCTGCCCTGCCTTGAAGCCAGCCAAGGATGGACTAAAACCTCTATAAACTGTGAGCCAAAATACACTTTTCCTCTTAACTTTGGGTGTCAGATATTTTGTCCCAGCAATGAGAATAGTTATTAAGACATCTATGATATTCAGCTCCACAACTTATATTCTAGAATTCACGCTGCCATGCAGATGGTACTGAGAGTTAAAATAGCTAAAAATGAATCTGTATGGATAGAACACTGTCCCATGAGTCTGAAGTACACCTGGGTAAAGGAGGCTATAATCAAAAGGAACCATGAGTTACACTCAGACAAAAAGAAAGGAATTTGTACATCCACAAGTTGGCAAACTTGATGAACAGAAGGTATAAAATGGACGAGACACCAGTCAGAAAAAAATATACAGGGGTAGTTATGCAATGGACCAGTTATGCAACAGACTAGTACTTACTACAAAACGCAGCCATCTGGCATTTCTCCTGGCTCTGTCAAGCCCTCCTCTCACTATGTCACTGAGACATATGTCCTTTAAACACACAACTCTGAAACAAAATCCTAAAATGTCTTAGCAGGACTCTGGCGGCTTCTTTAAATGGCTTAGTATTGGCCCATTGGCTTGAGGAAATCAAGAACGGGCACAGCTTAGAACAGAACTGAATACAGGTTTGTACAGCAACACATAAGGCCTACCCAGGCTGGTGTCCCTACTGAGGCTGCAGAGGACAGTGGCTGATATTTGTACAGTGCGTAACAGTTTATAAACTGCTGTCACATGCAATATCTCAGGGATCTTGAAAATACTCCCCAATCACCTCAGACTCTCCTGGCTTCCAGAGCTTAGGACAGCTTTGCTCTGCCAATCACATGAAATGGGACCAAAAGCCACCTGTGGGGGCCTTCTGGTCCCTGGGCTCTGCCAGGCTGGTTCTGCTTTGAGAGCCAACCAGCACCACAGGGCTGCTGAACTTAACTGCTGTAGAGAAGCAAGGTCAACAAAAGCTGCTGGGGAAGAGAAGGTAGCAAAAGAAAAGTAATCAGAAGGTGGGCCCCACCACCATCTCAGCCATAGCTGGGTACACCTCAGAGGCAGGGTCAAGCCCTGGGGTTTCTGTTTGCAGTTTTATCCAGAGCTATTAGGGGTCAAGGGTAAGGAGAAAGTTATGGTAACACCAAGGTATGACTCCAACAGTGTGGAAGAAAATTCTTAAGAACTTTTATCTCAAAAATTTAATTTCTTGAAAACAAATACAGAATGTCAGCAATGGGTCCCTCCAGACCCTTGAGGATCCAACTCAATCCTGCCCCTAGATTTTGCAGCCTCCTTTGTCTGCCTCTTGGGTTACAGTCACAGGTGTTCCAGGCCAGACAAGCCAACCCCAGCCCTGTTTAACCTCCATGTGGCTTCTGTATGTTGGCCTAAGCCTTTGCCCAGGCCCTTCCTCCTGACCCTTGGAGATACCATAGTCTCACCCATTCTGGGCCTGTGGCCCCTGGTGCCTTTACAACATACACAGTGAGAAGGACAGTTTCTTGCCCTAGTGCAAGGTAGTAAGATCAGTATGGGCAAGGAGCAGATTTTCTACCTGGGAATGTCACCTAGGCCAGAGTCACTGTTAACCCATGATAGTAATTCAGTGGCTAAAACTACTATTCCCATTAAGTGGTCTGTGGGCTTCCTGGGGGGTACCCCTAATTTAAAATGAAGGTTCTAGCCCTTTCTGATGAAATTCCCTTTTCTTAGAGCACAACCCACAAAGTTGTCTTTGAGAGGTACTGGATCATCCTCATAGGTCCCCAGGTTTAGAAACCCCATCTAGACTAAACAATGTTCCACCTTTTCAGTTATTTAAGAAATATGTTCCAATAAAGTCACTGCTGAGAAAACATGTCTGAAATTCACATGAGAGGAAGAAATCTGGCAAATATGCATTTTTACTCTTTAGGGGGGGCAATGTTGAGGGAAATGCCTTGTAGCTACAATGACCATTTCCAAGACCCACAATACAAACCTACTAGCCCACAGTGGAGCAATTACTTTTGCAAAAAAAATTATCAGGTTTGAGAATCCTAGGCACAAAGTTAGTAGATGTATAGTGAGTACCCTTGAACTTGGGTCCTGTTATGCCTTATTTCTAGATGTCCCTCCAAAGCCTTATGTGCTCATAGGTGAGGCTTTTCAGAGGTGGTTGGATCTCAAGTGTGTGAGTGTGGATTAGGGGAATGATACTAGGATTAAAGCTGTGTGATAACTAAATTGTTTTAGCATAGTTCTGAGTGTGGATAAGGGAAGGCCCATCCTAGGTGTGGGTAGTACCAACTAATAGGCTTATATCCTGGATGGGATAAAAGGGAAAGGTAGAAAGCAGGCTGCAGCTTCACTGACTCCTGCCTACCCTGCCATGGACTGTTTCTCCTCTACAATGCCCCTCTGCCATGCTGCCCTGCCTTGGAACCAACTGACTATGGACTGAAATCTCTACAACTGTGGGCTAAAATAAATCTTTCCTCCTTTAACTTGTCGGTGTCAGATATTTTAACCAAGACAGGACCTTTATTAATGGATACAGAGTCTTCATACAAGATGACTGAGTGAGGCCCCAATTTACCCATATTAATAATAACCAGCCAGGGATTTAGCTCAGTGGCGCTGTGCCTGCCTCACAAGTGCAAGGTCTTGAGTTGAATCCCTGGTACTGAAAAAAAAAATTAATAATAACCAAGGTGCAATGAGTATATGCATGACCAAGTAGCCTGATGAGAAAGAGGCTGGTCTCTCAGAGGCCCTGCAACGAAACAAGCTGGGGCAGCAACGGGGGGGGGGGGGGGCACTGCCACTCTCAACCTGTCTCCATACACAAAAGCCCAGAGCAGGGGGAATGTGGGACAAAGAGAAAAGGGACCTTACTTCTGCCCTGAAGGGTCTGCGGCTTCCCCAGAAAAGGTCTCTTCACCTCCCCACTGCCAAAAGGCCCTTGGAAACAGAATCACAGACATCCTCACCTTGACCACAGAGCATGGGCTGGACAGCAGCTGAGCCCTGGACCAAGGGGAAGATCAAGCACACTGAGAAGGATTCCTTCATGTCCCTCTGTCACATTCAGACTGTGCCACAGCAAATCAGGTATAAATTCACTGTGGTATTTAGCAACCATGAAAAGAAATATATTTACCACATATGAAGGTGTGCCAGATCGTCAAAGGCATGAAGGTTTTGAAATATAAATTGGTGTGTGGAAAAAACACCAGTTACTTTTTCCTTTTCTGCAAAGATTGAGTCCCTTCTTTGCAACAAGCTTTAAGGACAGAGCCATGGAAAAACATTATTAAACAGGGGCAAACTCTCAGGCTTCCGGCTTTGAAGAAAGCAAAATGTTTCAGAGTGAGGCTGCACTTTTCACAGCTCGCTCAAGACCAGTTAACTTAGGTGCAGATGGGGACACTGTCAGGCCAGTTGCAAACTCTTGACAGACCGTGCCACCAGGGTGGGCAGCTACATGACACACTCTGACACAAGGGCCCTGCACAAGCTGCAGGTCAGGGAGGCTTCCAGGGCCAGGCTAGCAATCATAGGTGGGGTGGGTGGCAACAGCAGGAAGATCAGCAGACCCTGAGGCCATCTTCTGAAAATTCTAAACTGGCTGGGAACTACCTCTACATGTGGGAAACTTTCTCATTTGGTTAAAGGAGACATCCATCAAGAGAGGCTCTACAACCCATAGCTGTGCCCTCGCTGGGTGTAAACATGACACGGAGGTGCTGATTTTTGTCCCTCTTTAGTACAAATGTTTCTCTCTAAGTATCCCCACACTAAACCCATGCTTTGGCGGCTGGTCGGGGAACAGTCACCATCATAGCCTTGACCAGCAGCACAGTGAAATTACCATCATAAAAAATCAACCAAAATCAACAAGTCTCGCAAGGAAGACCTAGATTACAGAAGGATCAAGAAAGAAATCTAAATCAAAGGCCGCCAGACTCTGAACTCTTTAGGCAAAAACAAACTCCCCAGCCGCACTGAGAGCAGGTGTGGGCCAGGACTGAGAGGCTCCGAGCTACCCTCCCCAGGGAGACAGAGCTGCACTCAGAGGAAAGCTGGGGTGGAGCATTCACCAAGCCCAACCAATTCTTCAGGGGCACCGTCCCCACTATTCTAACCCCACAGACACAAGGCCCCACTCTCTAGACTGTAGCAGTCTTCTCTGGCAGCCCTCAAGGCCCCTGGCTTTTACCTTCTCCAAAACTAGTCTGCGGGTATTTGAGTGCTGCAGCAGGTAGAAGGAAGGACTTACCTGGGCCACACAGAGGGCGCTATGCAATGCCAAGGTAAACCTAGTGCAGGTTTTCTAGAATGTATTTTAAGGGCCAGCGATTTAGCTCAGTGGTTCAGCCGCCTGCCTCGCAAGTGCAAGGTCCAGAGTTCGATCCCCAGTACCAAAAAAAAGTATTTCAAGTAATCTCTTAAACTCCAAATGTGAAAATCTCATTTTCTAAGAAGCTGCTGGTTTGGAATAGAGATAGCGATTTCTGGGAAGGGACTTCCTCCAGCTACCTTTAGTAGCCATCTTGAAGGGCGGCACTCTGCGCAGTGCTTTTGCCCAGAGGAGAAGAGAAATTGGCTTCGACCAGAAAGCTGGCCACAGACTGCCTCAGAGACCAGTCTTCCGGCCTTCTCCTGCAATCCTGTTTTATCTCCAGAAAGCTGTCAAGCTCTCCTGACTAAAGACCAGGTTTCTGACCTTGGCACTGACCCTTGGGTTGGATAATCCCTTTTCCTGTGTGGGTGCCATCCAGTGTTTACAGGACAGTCAGTGGCACCCCTGGCTCCACTTACTAAGGGCCAATAGCCTCTGCCCAGCTGTGCTGGGTAAAATGTCTCCAGACATTACCCAATGTCCTCCGGTTGGGAACAAGCCACAGCTGGATAGTTCAGTGATGGTTATTACCGCTGAAGAGGAACCCCATGGGAAGACAGGACTGGCCGCCATATCCAGCTGTCCCTCGTGAGGGAAGAAGGCCACAGTCCTGAGTGTTTACCTGAGCATCTGCCAGCTCACTCTCCAGGGCCCTTCTGGCTGACACAGCTTCTTCTTCTCCCTTCCTGGCGTGTACAAGGGCCTCCTCTAGCTGCCACACTTCACCCTACAAGGAAACACAGGGTCAGATGCCAGCTGTGCCTACGAAGCGGACTCAGCTGAGATGAGTGTGAAGAGATCCACAGACTCGGGGGCTGTGGGCCCAGGATGACATGTGGCTGCAGAGCCCCTGGATGTGGGCACCTGTGTGCAGTGCCACAGGCCAACTTCTAAACAATCTTCAGTGACTTTTACAAAGGCAAACACCTGGCCTCCCTGGAGCATCAGAACCTGCAGGCATTGGGCAGACTGGGGTACAGGCAGTTCTGTGGTTCTGTGGACGGAGGTTCGGGGGGGTGGGGGTGGGGGGCCCTTGTCACCATGATACGCATCTTTCACACTTCCTGCTTCTGGAGCACCAGCAAACTAGTTGTTTTGCTAAAACCTGTGTAACTCCAAAAACATCAACTTTGTGTTAAAAAAAAAAAAAAAGAATAGTCCCGAGTAAGAACGGGCCTGAGGGTGGTGTGTGGGAGCCTCAGCAGCACCTGGGGCCCCAGGGAGCCTCAGAGGGTGAGTAGAGTCCTGTGCCCCAGATATTTCCTCTGCTGGCCTCACATCTCTGCTCCCAGGCCTCTCACCCACAGCCTCTTTGAAGGACATAGACATGGCTCGTGGCCCACTTGAGATCACCCAGACCTTTCCTATAACGGTTTGCTAATAAACCGTCCCCCTCTGAGAGGAGACCCAACCCGGACGCACAGGCCTCACCTTGCACTTCCGGAGCGCTTCCTCAGCCTGGGCCTCACCACCTTTGCCGTCCTCCAGCTGCGCTTGCAGCTCGGCCACTCTGCACTCCAGCTCCTCAGCTCTGCCTTGCAGCTTCTCCATCTCCTCCTTCAGCGCTTTTTCCCGCATCTCAGCCCCCACCTGAGTCTGTTCTGAAGTGTTGCTCCAGCTGGCCAGGACTTCGACATTCTGTTAAAAGCACAGAGTGGTGAACATGGGAACGGGACTCCACAGGCTTGCCCCAGGCGCTGAGGCCCTGAGCAGGGCTCCTGCTTTTAAAAATGCAGCATGCATCACACTGCAGCTCAGTGATAGAGCTGTGTTCTGTTCACAGGAGGAACAAGGCCTGGGGTTTGATCCCCAATACTACAAAAGCACTAAAAAATAAAGCTTTAAGAATGCAGTGTCAGCCGAGTGTGCTGGCACACACCTGTGATCCCAGCACTTGGGAGAGTTCGAAGCCAGCCAGGACTACATAATGAGTTCAAGTCCAGCCTGAACTACCTAGCGAGACCTATCTCAAAAAAAAAACAAACAAATAAAAAGAATGAAGTGTCATTGGAACACAGCCATCCTACTTGTCTAGGATCATCTATGGCTGTGTTCAAGCCACAAGGAGCAGAGCCAAGGAGTTGTAGCAGAGACCACAAATGCTGTGGTCTCACTAGGCCTAGATTTGCTGTCTGGCTCTGTGGGACAGTTTGCCAACCCTTGCCTGTGCTGAGTCCTTTGCAGATCTCCACCGTGTAATAACTAAGGGGTGGTGCTACTTTCATCACACTTTACAGAAGAGGAGATGGGGGCCGGGGATTTAGCTCAGGGGTTCCACCGCCTGCCTCGCAAGTGCAAGGTCCTGAGTTCAATCCCCAGTACCAAAAAAAAAAAAAAGAGGAGATGGAGAGTTGGGTAGATGAAGGAGCTTGTCCAAGACACTCAGGAGGAACTGCATCCTGGCAGACTGAATCACAAGCTGGGCTCAGCCCGTGCTGTGGGCAGAGCCCCTACCAGAAGGTCTTGATGGAGAAACAGAAATTAAAATTTGCTTAAATTTCACAGGGCCAGTGAGCTGTAGGTACTGTTGTCTGAGAATACCTTGTGCTGTACATGATTCCCAACAGAAAAGAACAGCAAGAGCTGCAGGTAGCTCACCATCGATTCCAGACACAACCCGTCCTTGTACTGAGCTTAGCAACTTGACGTGACGATGATAAATAAATGTTCTGACCAGAGCCACTTTTCCCACTACCCAGATGTCCAATTCTGTACCTCTGAGAAGCCCACTGGAGTCACAATGAGGTTAGCTAGCTGTGCTGGGAGAAAACCAAGGTGCCAATAGCTGATCAGGTCAAGGAAAGAAAAACCCTGGATTGCCCACCCCTGCCCTAGAGCTCCCTGGAAGAGACAAGAAAACAAACCGACAAGTACCAAGACAGGGTGGTGTAGCATAAGCACAGACATAGACTTTGGACTAGGACTGAGACCAGACACAGAGCTTTTTTTTTTTTAATTTTTTTTTTTTTTTGGTACCGGGGATCGAACTCAGGTCCTTGTGCTTGCGCAACAGGCAGTGAAATCACTGAGCTAAATCCCCGGCCCCGAGACACAGAGCTTTATGTCAACAGCTTCTCCACAAGGGTGCCACAGAGGGCCAAGGGGGAAAGCACGGCCCTCCTCAGATGGCAGTGGGACCACCAGACAGTCACACATATGAAGCAAGACTCCTTCCTCACACAGCACATGAAAACTAACTCAAAATGGACACCAGACTTAAAGGGAAGAGGAAACCCATATACCTTTTGCAAAAAGTGTAACCCAGGGCCTCATACATGCCAGGCAAGTACTCTGTGACTGAGCACATCTTTAGCCCCCAAAAAACCTCTAAAAGAAAACATAGTAAATATTGTGACCTTGGGTTAGGCAAAGTCTTCTTAGCCACACCACCAAGTACAAGTAAAGGAAGTAAGAGATAAATTCGACTTCTTCAAATTAAAAACTTCCGGGGTACAAATGATACCATCAAGATGATGAGAGAACAAGAGAAAACATTCACAAATCATATGTCTGATAAATGACTCATACCTAAAATATATAAAGAATTCTTCAACTTAATAAGAAAATGAAAAGGAGCTGGACATGATGGCCCACACAGGTAACCCTAATACTCTAGGAGGCTGACACGGGGGATCCAAAGTTCAAGCCCAGCCTAATCAACTCAGAGATTTATCAAGACCCTGTCTCAAAAAATAAAAAGAAAAGGGCGGGGGTGTTACCTTAGATTAAAGCTCTGGGTTCAGTACTGCAATAATAATAATAATAATAATAATTAATAACCCATTTTTAAATTGTCAAAAGAGTTGAGACATTTTTCCAAAGAAGATATATTGAAGTTCAAAAGCATATAGAAATATGTGTAACATCAGTAGTGACAATAAAGGGTCTGTCCAGTGGATGGGCAGATCCCCAGCCTGCCCCCTCTTTCCCCACTACCTAGATATTTCATTCTACACCTCTGAGAAGCCCACTAGAGCCATGTAGCTGAGTTACAATGAGATTAGCTGGCAAAAGCAAATTAAAACTGCAAAGAGGTGCCAACTTATACCCACTTAGGATGGCTATAACTAAAAAGATAGCAACTATGCTGAGGAGGATGTAGAGAACTTAAACTCAAGCACTGCTGGTAGGAATATAAAGTTGTATAGTCACTTTGGAAAATGGTTTTGGTGGTTCCTCAAAACATTTAACAAAGATCTCTATAAGCCAATGACTTCACTCTTGGTGTGTACCTAAAAGAAATAAAAACATACATTCACCTAAAAACTTGTATACAAATGTTGCATAGTATCCCTATTCATAGTATCCAAAAGTAAAAACAACCCAAATGTCCATCAACAAATAAATGGTCAAATAAGATGGGGTTCATATAATAGGATGTTATATGCTAGAATATAATAGAATGTTGTTTAGCCACAGAAAGGGACAAAAACACTGGTATGTGCTACAACACAGGTGAACCTTGACAACATTATGCTACCTGCAAGAAGCCAGTCACAAAAGACACTATACTGACATATATATGCAATCCCTATGAAAATAAATCTACAGAGACGAAAAGTAGCTTAGTGGTTGGTCAGAAGATGGGGAAGGTGCAGAAAGTACTGCTAATGTGTATGGGATTTCTTTCGGGGGTAATAAAATGTTCTAGTGTTGACAGTGGTGATGGCCATACAACTGTAAACATACTAAAAGCTAGATTGCGTACTTTACATAGTTGAATCACATGTTACATAAAGCATATCTTAATATACCTGTTTTTGAAAGAAAACAAAAAAACAGAGCCCAGGAAGATCTGGAGGGTGGTGGAGAGAGATGATGTTTTATCCTAGTGGCCAGGCAGATTGCTCAAGTGTTAATAAGAGAAGAGGAGATTCAAGATATCAACCCAAAACTCTGAATAAAGCAAAGAACACTTACACCTGTGGCCACTGAGTACTCATCAGGAGCCCAGGAACACCAAGGACCCTGACAACCAGACCTGGTTTAACCTGGGCTTGGGCCTAACCAGCCCCTGGCATGCTGGGTTCAGGCACCTGAAGTGTACTTTGATATTCAGAACTTGGTCTGCAAGCCTGTGGCTCACCGCACGGCTGGCAGGGCTATTCCAACCCCAACTTTCACCCATGGCATGTGCTGTCTGACTCCAGGGAGCCTGTGCGCCGGAGCGCAGCATGCTTTGATTATTTGTAGAGTGATAACATGCTTTTCTCTAAGTCATTTGCAGTGTGGTGACCCACATTATGCATACAAATAATTTAACATAAGCCTCTGGTGGCAAATTTTTACAGAAATACTCTGCTGTCCTCAACGAACCTTTGCCCCAAAACATACCCAGTTTACTATGTTATATATAAAATCCAAGAACAAACTTCCCTTTCCCGAAACTTTACCTAATTTACCTGGAATCTTAAAAAAAAAAAAAAAGTCACCTTTGTTCAATGCAAGTATGACATGCAAATTCTTCTCTGTGACTTCCCGGTGAAGGAAAGAAAAAGAGTCCCAGAACCCCCAAGGTCTCCTGACTCTGAAATGCTTTAGTCTATGCATCATCTTTTCCAAAGGCTGAAGTCTGTCTTGCACCTGTGTCAAAGGCAACAGAATCATAGCAGGACCAGAGTTGGCAAGGATGTTCATATATAGCAGACCACCAGCAGGGACACTGTGATCCCATAAGGCACTGGTGCTATGTCTGTAGTGCTCTGCACATCATCACTAAAGAAACCAAACAGCACGCTTTCAATTCACTTAGCTGCATCATACCGTTTGTGTAACGCTTACATTTAGAAGTTTGATACGAATTTTCTCCTCAGTGTTTTACCTGTTACTCACTCATGCAGGCAGCCACAAGTACTTAACAAAATCAACTCCAATTCCTCTGCCACCCCAGCAAGTCGGGTGACACCGCACTAGGTCATCACCACTAAGGCAAAAATAGCAAATATGCTATCGTCTATTGTTTTTCAAGATTGAGCCATCACTAGACATTGCACTAGGATCATTTCCTCACCTCTCGGCAGCCAAGATTAAAAGGTTTGTTACCACAGTATGTGGGTGGTTGAAGAAAGGGGTATTTCTCATCACCCGTTGATAATAGGTGCTCCTGGAGGGCAATTTACTATCAAAATTATAATGTACCTTCCCTTTGCCCCAGCAAACTCTCTTCTAGCCCAGCAGCCCATTTGCGTGCAATAAAAAAAAAAAAAAAAAAAGAATGTGAGGAATAAGCAAGGGGCGGAAGACACACAGCATACTTTTATGTGTGTAAAATGTGGGAGGGAATTAAGTGTATGGAAAACGTCAAGAGATTCTTTCAATCACAAACCATCTTATAATTTTTGAATTTTGTTTTCTTTTTTTTGGTGCCAAGGATCAAACTCAGGACCTTGTGCTTTCGAGGCAGGCAGCGGAACCACTGCGCTAAATCCCAGGCCCTTGATTTTTGAATTTTGAACCATGGAAATACAACATGTAATAAATATAGAAAATAACACACATTTCCTTCTAAGAGACTGACTGTCCATGGGTACAGCATCCTCCATGGCCAAGTTCTCCCCTCCTCCAGCCTCTGGAAACCCTTGTCCGGCCTACTCACAGGCGCTTCTGGGCCACGAAAGATCACAGAGCCAGGGCCCCGA